CTTGCTTAGGAAAATCCTGTGCTTCAGTATCAGAGTTGCAGAGGTTGGCAGGGTTTTTTTTCTTATAAAACTTTCTAATAAATTTGCTTTTGTTTGGTTTATACTAATGAATGACAGTTTGGATAACCTTCCCTCTGTCTTTGCTGTCTGTTATCTCACATGACCCAATCTTGGGACAAGAAGGAACAATAAGCAAAAGCTAGTCTTGGGTTTTTAATTTCAGGGTTCAGATGGCATCGTAGGAACACCTGGATTCCCAGGAACTATTGGCCTTCCTGGCCCAAAGGGTAAGAAATCTTCCACAGTTTTTGTGCACTTTCAGTATACACAGTCCTAAGATTTATGGCTAAAATTAATGCATAGTCCTCTAGAAATGTATGTTGCTCTCCAGCGACTGTCTCAGAAATAGATGTCTCCCTACTAGGTCTTTAATTCAGATGAGACTGGTCCCAAGCCAAGTACCTAAAGTGCCATGGTCCTTTGAAATCTTGGCCACAACATGATATGAGACATGTCAAGCAGTACAAGAGGCACCTTCTCTGTGATGTGCTTGCATCAGAAGTACAAATGGCAGGATGCTGTGAAATCACCTGTAAATGTTTGTCTTATTACGCCCTGTGTGCATTTGCATCCATTGCTATTTAAAGGCATTTCTAAACTCAGGCACATTATTTACTTTTGTCTTTCTTTACTCCATGGATTTGAAGTGCAGTGAAAGTGTGTTATACTGAGCAGCCCTGAAAGCTACACTCCACAATCGATTGTGGAATGGCCGCCTTAACCTTTCTTTCTTTATATGTTTTTTTCCTAGGTGACCGGGGAGATTCTGTTGGTGTTCCTGGCAGTGCTGGAGCAAAGGGAGAGCAAGGGGACCCTGGATTTCCAGGTGAAGTAGCCCTTGATAGCTCACTTCAGGAATGCAGAATTCTAGGAATCAAGCTAGGATGGCATTGCCCAGTTTGAGGTGGTTGTTAATCTATACACAGAAACCTTTTAATCCTGTCCTTTAAGTAAGATTTGAGGGGTCTGCGCTCCAGACAGCGCAAATCTGGATGATAATTAACCTGTCTTAGAACAGCTCAATTGTAGTGCTGGGTCCCACTTCACTTCTTGGCCAGAAACTTGGTACTGGCAATGGTGTCTGGCATCAGGGAAACCTGGTCTGGATTGTTCCAGACTGTGGTAGAGCTGCAGCCTGAGATTAAAGAGTTTCTCGTCAAGCCTGCCTCCAGTTTCTCTCTAGCATGCTGTATGCTTTCATGCTGTATGCTTTTATCTTTACAGGAGAGAGAGGGAGAGAAGGGCCCAAAGGTGAACCAGGATACCCAGGAAGCACTGGGGTGAATGGACTCAAAGGTGGCCCAGGAGATCTTGGCCAAGAAGGACCAGCAGGTACTGGATTAGGCACTTAAATCCTGCAGTTCGTGCTGTAGAATAGACTTGTCATTTCATTCGCTCTGATCAGCCTGTCTCAACTGAAGCTTAAATGAGAAGATTGGCACTGCATTTTCAATCCTGTGTGTCAATTGTTGGTGAATCCTGCATACTCCAAACTCAAAGGAATTCCTCTTAAAAAAATAAGACTTAAGGAATAGCAGCTTCTATGCAGTTGCCTGTGAACCAGACTGCTCTGAAATTGTCTACTGCAACACTTCAAACCTACCCAGGAGGACAGCTACTAGTGTCTTGGGTTGTGGTGTAAGGAGCAAGCAAATTAAAGTTGAAAGAACAGTGAAAAATTCTATTGTAATATTTTATTTGGAAATCAGTTGATATAATTATTCAGCATGTAAACTGTTCCAGTCGATCACTTGGTGGATGATGGAGAATGTCAATCAGAAGTTGCGGTGTGAGCTGTTCCAGCTTGGGTGCGCTGTACGGCAACATTTTGCTTCTTGTTTTCAGGAATCCCTGGAAATTCTGGACCGAGAGGAATTGCTGGGCCACCAGGACCTCCAGGGCAGCCAGGATCTGCCGGATTCCCTGGAGCTCGTGGAACAGCAGGACCCAAAGGTATATCTGGAGTCTGCACATGGGAGGAAAATTTGGGTCAAAAAAGCAGTGCTTCGGCCAAGTGTATCACAGCAGGCAGGCAGCACACTGTGTGGGCCAGCTGTGCGTGGGAAATTGGCTCAGTTCTTTGCAAAGCTAGTGCAGGCACCAGCTGCTAGAAATGAGCAGAGGAGTGTTTGGAACGGGAGAGGCTATCACTAGATTTGGATCACTAGAGGGTAAAACCAGCGAGAGCAAGATGAAGAGTTTCCATGAATCCCTTCCTGTGAAAGAAGATATTACATGCTATATTCCCCTGGGTGCCAGGCTTCTAACACATGGTGTAGTCTGCATGACGTATCTTAGTCATTTCACCTAATGAGATTATTTGCTTATTTGTTCACTTACATAAGTGTTCCCAATGTTTCTACAGGATTTCCTGGATTTCCGGGCTTAAATGGTCTGAATGGCTTGCCAGGCACAAAAGGGTCTCCTGGAACACCAGGTAAGAGAGATGTGCAGTGGAAGGGTCGTAGCTGGGGATGTGCATGCAATGGTCCATCGTGAGAACAGCATTCCTCACAAAATTGCTTCATTTTACCCAGTTCTGGATTTATTTAAAATATGAAGAAAAATCAGGATACTGGATGTGTGTGACCATCTTCTTTAATGTCATTAAGAACAGGATGTGGCCCATGAATAGAAGAGTCTTTTCTGGTGCTGGTTCTTCTTGAATTTCTGAACAATAAGTTGCTACTGGAAATCTGATTGGATGAGATCATGAGTCTTCAATTTCTAAAGGATATTTGATTTTAAGGGGACTGCATCAAAGATTGTCTTTGAGTTGAGCCTAAGAATGACATGTATTGCTGTCCATAGCTCTCATATTGCTGTCCATGGCATAGATAGCATAAAATTGCAACAGGATTTTTATGTATGACAGTGGTAGTTTCTTACTGTACAAACAAAAAAAAAATCGAGGATGGTCTTTGCTTACTAGACAAAATAATTTTGGTTTGTAAAATTGAAATGATACCCATGTTTTCTTTATTTCAAACATTGCCTTTCAGAAGGTAATGATTAAGAGTATAGAGATTCTCCACACTTTTCCTACCTGGAGTTGATTAGTATTTGCTCTTACCAGGTGCCATGCTGAACATCTCCCTGCAGCCCTTCCCCGGAGCCTCTGTCCTGCACTGCTCAGGCCTGAGTGTAGTCCTTCTGCTGTTTCAAGATCTTACCATCTTGAAACACAAAGCCCACTAGATTATTTAAAGACCAGAGGCCTGATTCAATGCTCTGCTCTCATGAGAGGCACAGTACACAGAATGGCTGGCAAATCCTGTCATGGGGGAGGGTTATATTCACATCCTTGTGCAAGATGTGAAGCCTTCCCTTGTGGGAAGACTGTAACAGTCGTGTACCTCTCTCTCACCAACTTACAGGTTGTTTAAATTTACTGTTCACAGCCAGAGTAGCACAAGAACTCTTTCTGGTGCTCTACTGAAAACAGCAGAGGGAGTGGTGAATAACTAATTTCATATTTCAGTTCAGTTTGTAGAAGATTTTAACTTACATTAGGCAATTTGAGTAGGCTCTCTTACCTTCTTTAACTATGTGTAATTAGGTCTCAGTGAACCTGGACTGAAAGGTCCTGCAGGTCTCCCAGGTCCAAAGGGTGAAGAAGGTTCTCCAGGCTTTGGCAGAGGAGCTCTTGGATTCCCTGGACCAAAAGGATCATCAGGAGACATGGGTAAATATCAATGTTCTGGAAGCCTCATGGAAGATCAGGGTAGTGGGTTGCCAAGTCAACATAGGTACCAAAGAGCACTCATGAAGTCACAGAGATGGTCAGGTAAATGTTAAATGAGTGATGTAGCTATGAATCTGAGAAACAGATCATTATACAGTGCTTACAGTGTCAGTACTTCTTCCAGACAGCAGAATGTAGTATTTTATGTATTACTTCTTCGCTCCTAGGTAGTGGAGGGTTTTTTATTGCCTGAATCTCTGTATTATTTTCAATATAAATACCAGTCAGCCACCAACAGTTCTGTCCACATCTCCAAGATCATCACAGAGCTCACTTTATATTTCTGATTCTAGGTCCCCCTGGTCCTATAGGATTGCCTGGCTTGCCAGGAACACCTGGAATTTCTCTTCCTTCTGATATACCTGGGAGACCTGGAGATGCAGGCCACCCAGGAATTGATGGAAGTTCAGGTATGGAGAGAGGCATCTTATGGAGCATGGAGTACCTAAGGAAGGTTGATTTCTGTGTTTCCTTTGAAGACCTCTGGGTTGAGGAATGTAGAGTGACATTTTAATCATCTGTGGTGCTCTATATCCAGGATATCTGGCTTGTGTTCCTGCTATTGAATCCTGATTTGGTTCAAGCCTGTTATTAAAGCTCTCTGATCCACATTCATATCATCTACTGTGAGTTTTAAGAAAGACTAAAACACTAAGGCAGATACTTATGTCTGGCACATTATGTCTGAATTTGGATCCCAGCTCCATTTGGACAGTTTTATAAGGAGCACCTGCCCTAAGTTTGATACCACATATAGTTGGGAAGATTTGTTATGATGACTTTGGTGCTCGTTCATTGTCTATAGCCCCATGGAGGAGGTTGGAACTCTAAGACTTTCCTTGGCCTGATGGTAGATTTTAGGCTAGGTACCAGGTGTGACACAGAGCTCAGGCCAGTAATTTGAAGCAAAGGGAACGTAGTCAGAAATATTTAAAGGTTTCTGGGACCTAATTGGATATAAGCAAGTGGGGACCTGGTTTCCTCCCTACTGGAGTAAGACAACCTTGATAATACAGACACCCGAATGGTGTCTGTCACCTAGAATGACAAAATGGGGATAGCAGCAGCATTTGCTTTGCTCAGGAACTGTTTGTGCTAATTATTGCTGTTGTATCTAGGTCTCCCAGGTCCTCCGGGTCCACGAGGGGCCCCTGGCCCAGCTTCTGATCAAGGTGACACAGGCAATCCAGGCTTTGCTGGTGTTCCTGGCTTACGAGGCATTAAGGGTGACATGGGACCTCCTGGTCCAGTTGGGCTCCCTGGAGCATTTGGATTCAAAGGTACTCTGGTCTTGAAAGGGTCTATTTGTGGTTTGTCAGCTGTCATGGTTCCTCCATCTCAGACTTGAAACGCTGTTCCTGCTACCACTGTCGCTGTGTTTCTCAGAGCCCCCAGTTGTGGCTCAGAATCAGGACCCCATGCTCAGCCTCTGAGGTCTTTTGCTGTGTATTTTTGCAGGTATAAGGGGTGAGCCTGGCCTTATGGGGATGCCAGGTAAAGATGGGCCTCCGGGGGACCCTGGTTACCTTGGGCTGAAAGGTGAAACAGGTCTTCGAGGTGAGTACCAGAGGATTTGAATAACTGTACAAATGGTTCATGCTGGGATAAATAATATCCCTTAGTGGGCATATCTGGGGAAATCTTGGGTTCCTAGAGATTGCAATAAATTGATAAGAGCTTGACACAGCACTTACATCAGAACTCAGAATCTTTATTTATTAAGGTAACCTTAATTCAGTATGCTTCTCCTTTGTGTCATTATTGTAATCAAAGCTGTGAGTATTCTGGGGAGTGCTTATGCTGTCATTTATACTGTGCAGGTCTCCCTGGCCGACCAGGAGCTCCAGGTATAACCCCACAGCCAGAAAAAATCACAGCTCCTGCAGGCTTACCTGGTCTGCCAGGGATCGATGGGGTCCCTGGCTTTGATGGAGATCCTGGATTCCAGGGCCCAGTTGGGAAACCAGGTAAAGAGCACCTCATTCAGATCATCCAAAATGCAGGGGGGTTTCTACATGGGGAATGGTACTTTATCAAATCTACTGGGAAGGTTTACAGGTATTTCTAATTATGGAAAATTATTTCATCAAAGTGCATACAATGAGCATGTTTTATTTATTGGAATATGTTGCCTATATTTTCTTCTAGTTTCACAGTGATTTTAATTAGGTATTCTAAATTAGGAGCAGCAACCTGTACTGTAACCACTATGATACCAGCTTAGGAATAGGCAGATGGAGTGGTCCCAAGGATGATTCACCACTCGGAATGGCTTAGATTGGCAATGAAATACTGTAACCAGAGAAGTGCTGAGAACTTCAGTTTGCACCGCTGCAGTTTATGTTACTTTGCCGGTGACTTCAGTGGTTACAGGATCAGGTCCTGCAGCAGTAGGATCCACTAGGCCCAGTAAATCTCAATGAATCCTTTCCTGGTGCACAATTTAGGTAGTTATTAAATGTTAATATTCTCTTTCATTCATGAAAACTCCAACAGAGAATCCCTCACTTAGCATCAGTCCTTCCCCCTAGATGCTACTCTGGTCCCCATCATGGTGAAGGGAGCTGTACTGGTGCCTGGCTCTCAGTTCTTACAGTGAATAAAAATGCAGGGAGTCAAACCTGAGAGAGTCTTTATTGACACCGCCAGCCAGGTGATCAGGTCGCAGACACTGTGGAACAGTGTGAAGAGGGAAGGTCACTGGGAAGTCTTATTGTGGCCTTTTACACTACTTTTAGTGCTTAATCATTACAAAAGCATTTTGTAATGTAAATATACACCCATATGTTTCCCAATCGCATGTTTCTCTATACTGATATTAGCCTTCCACGTTACTGACTGCTTGTTAAATGTCCAGCCCTGTGCAATTGCATAACCCATTCTGTCTATATAAACTACTACGGTATTTTTTAATTTACTCGTACATTTCCAAACCCTTACTTTATCTATGATCCTTGTTTTTTCCATACCAAACCTTTCTGGTTTGAGATCAAGACAATCTTGAGTGGATTTTAAATGTTCCTAGCCAGGCACCTTCTGTGATCTCCCACTGAAATCTAAGCCTCTGTATTTTTAGCACCCTTCGCTGTCCTGAGATTTTTCAAAGATTTGTCAGTCAAATGCTCATAATTGAATTTTGGGCTGAGGAAAAAGGGGAGAAGAATTCAAGTTAGAGGTTCTAATTTTATGTAACATTAAGACTGAATGTCATCAAAGCCATTTTCTTAGTTTATAAAAGGGTGAAAACAAGCAAAAGGAGTGACTTCAAGTCTTAACCAGGACATAAGGAAGGTAGCCACTTTTCTTCTGCTTGCAGCGGCCCGCAGCAGACTGTTTCCAATGTGGCAGAACTCTTGTGACGCAGAAGTGAGAAGAGTTCCACAGCCATCCCTGTAGCCTTCCCCTGACCTGAGTGCTGCATTTTCACTTGATCATTTGACTAACAGTCAGAACATGTGGATTGCCTGTATTGAGTTAGTTGTGTGTAACTACAGCTGCTCACAACAATTCCTATTCTGATAGTAGGAGTGAAGGCATTAGAATGAGGAGACAATGATGGTAACGATTGTATTTAATTTCAGGTGCAAAAGGTCTGCCAGGCAGATCGGGTTTGAAAGGACGCGATGGTTTAACTGGATCACCTGGCATAGTTGGGGATCCGGGACCTTTGGGTGCTCCAGGACCACAGGGATTTGAAGGTAATTTTATTATTTAGAGAGCACAAATCAAAAAAGGAATCAGTAGAATTCTTTTTGCCCAGTGGTTCTGCAGAGACATTCTGCAGCACTAAAGTAATAATCTTAGGAAGACCGGGGCATGCACATCATCTTCTGTCTTGTACGATCCTGAACATCTGCTGGTTGTAATGCCTTGTGGATGTGGGAGGCATCCTGAAGAGCAGTATGGTATTCACAGTGAACATGGCTATGAGGGTGGGATGGCAGAGGAGAGGCACGAGAGAGTGAAGGTTTGGGTTCTGACGTAGATTTGTTGTACAAGTTTTAACTTGTCAAATAAGTATCACCACCAAGAGCACTACATTGAAAATGAATTCATTAGGTTTGGCTTTGTTTAGTGCTTTGAGATCCTCAGAATTGTTACGCTCTGAGATAGAAGTTACTGCTTGGATACTAGCATTGGGGAAAGACAGAAAATTAAATGAGATCAGTTAGATATTAGGAAAAAACTCTACATGGAAAGAGTAGTGAAGCATTGGAACAGGCTGCCCAAGGAAGTGGTGGAGTCACCGTCCCTGGCATTGTTCAAGAAATGTATAGATGAGGCACTTAGGAACATGGTTTGATAGGCATAGTGTTGGACTTGATGATCTTAAAGGTCTTTTCAAACCATGATGATTCTATGATCCTGTGAAAAGGGGATGAAGTGACTGCTTTTGGAATTAGAAAAGTCTAATCAGTTATATAACAGCTGTCAAAACTTGAGCTCTTCACTGTACAGGACTGACTTACAATGACAGCACTGCCAAAGTCAGGTACAGAGCTAGCTGGTGTCCATGCTGCCTATTACTAAGTCAGGGACTCCTCTTCTGTTTTCTAGGTGTTGCTGGAAAGCCGGGCTCCCTTGGTTTGGAGCGTGGGCGTTGGATACACTTTGGTGAAGCACAGCCAGTCAGAGCAAATCCCACCATGTCCCATAGGAATGAACAAGCTCTGGGATGGCTACAGCTTATTGTATGTGGAGGGGCAGGAAAAGTCACATAACCAGGATCTTGGTGAGTTGGCAGAATTCTCTTGGGCACAAACAATGCCACAAAATCTTCTTTCTAAAGAACAATCGTTACTGGTACCACAGGCAGTTGTGGAGCACATGGTGGAAGTGTGCTTGGCCAGAGTCTGTAGTATACGCAGTGTTACTTGTACTACGCTCTGCCATTCACATCTGAGTGTTTGCCAGGTGCTTGGATCAACCATTTCATCTCTTCTTGCAGGTTTTGCGGGCTCCTGTTTGCCTCGCTTTAGCACCATGCCCTTTATTTACTGCAACATCAATGAAGTGTGCTATTACGCCAGCCGAAATGACAAGTCCTACTGGCTCTCCACCACGGCACCTATCCCCATGATGCCTGTGGCGAGCATACAGATCGCCCAGTACATCAGTCGGTGCTCGGTGTGCGAAGCACCTTCCCAAGCTGTGGCGGTGCACAGCCAGGATATCACTATCCCACAGTGTCCTGTTGGCTGGCGTAGCCTGTGGATTGGATACTCTTTCCTTATGGTAAGAAAACTATTGCTTATGCAAAGTCAACTTCAAGCATTTCTAGATCTCCTCTTTATTTGGGCTACTGAAATCGATGTCCCTGAATTTGCTTTTAGGAAACTAGAGTGCTATAGCTTCTTGCCTTAATGTGTTTCTTCATCAGCTGCCCTATATAAGCTGAGTTTGTTGCCACTTAGCTTCTCACGTGTACTGTTCATCAGTAACAGTGAAGCAGTAGTTCTTTACTGCCCAAGATATTCACTGTTTTGCAAACCTTTAAATGCAGAAACACTGACTGAGCTTGAGCATGGTCTTAATCCCCTATCTCTGCTGAAATGTTTTCTCCATTACACTCTATGCAAACCAAGTACTGCCTTGTACTTCACCTCTAGCCTGAATTCACCTCAAGGTGTATTTTGGTTCCCTTGTTTTTCTCCTTGCAACAAAGGAACTCAAGGACTTCCCTGTATGACTGCCTGTTCTGTTCCTCTGAAGGCATTTAAATGTACATCTTTCTTTCAGCACACGGCAGCTGGGGCTGAAGGTGGAGGTCAGTCCCTCGTCTCACCTGGCTCTTGCCTGGAGGACTTCCGTGCTACTCCTTTCATTGAATGCAATGGTGCTAGGGGATCATGCCACTACTTTGCAAACAAATACAGCTTCTGGCTGACAACAGTGGAACAGTCACAGCAGTTTCTCAGTGCACCTCCCTCAGAAACTCTGAAAGCAGGACAGCTTCGAACACGGGTCAGCCGTTGCCAAGTGTGTATGAAGAACTTGTAGGAATGAAAGTGCAAAGATCAATAGATGTGTTTACTGTGTAAGTGTTTAGACATCACTGATTTGAGGAAAGATAAATACATAAACTTGTGTGTGGTTGACGAATGAATCAAGATGGCCAGAATCCTACCAAAATCAGGTGTCCACTCCGGGAATTTGACTTCACCACAAGGCGGGAGAAACCAGTTCTCTGAAACCTCTATTTTATGAAACATGGTGCTATGCTTTTACTTTTTATGTTTTGATTTGTTTTCCATTCATGGCTACCTCAGAAAGTCTCTTTGAGTTTCATACTCAGATCGAAGACTAACTATAATGCCCATTATGTGACTCACCTGTCGCAGGCACATGTCAATTGTCAACAGAGACTTTTCAAAAGTGATATTTTACTTAGAGTCTTTGCAAAAAGTATTTCGTCTAGTGTAAGGGAATGAAGATTCACTTTTCTACAAAGTACAGACTAGCTAAAATTAATTAAAGCATCACAGGTGACTTAGAAATGCAATGCATTCAGGGTAACTGACTTCTGTAGGAAGACTCAAAGATGAATTTGTTCTGCTTTGCATAATAAGCAGAGGTACCAGCCTTTGGCTCCACTGATATGTGATAAGTAGAGTCATATCCCTTGTCCCTAAAGAGCCACCCCAATTAAAACCGCAGTTTGCGGTGCTGAGTTCAAAGCCTCTGGTGCTCATTGGAGCTTTCAGTTGAAATACATTGTAAGTAAAAGGCCTGCCTCAAGGTCTGTGCTTACCTCCTTGCAGCCACATGATACATGTAATTACATGAGTATCAGCTAGCTTTCTGAGGTAGCCCTGGCACAGTTACTTTGTAATTATCCAAGCTGTGTATATTTAAAAAGTAAGGTCTTTACTAGATAGCATGCAAGCTTTATGCAAACATAGAAACAAGCAGTTATAGGATGTACATTTTTTTACTTCTAAAATACTTCTAAAATATGTTATATTCTTTTTTGGACTTCAACTCTATTAAGTTTTAAAAAAGAGGAAAAAATGTTTTTTTTTCTAATGCACTGTCACATTGTCACACTCCTTTGGGTCATTATCAAAAAGAAGTGCCACTAGTTGTATTTTCCTAGTATATTTTGAGAGAGCCATGAAAAAAGTATGCTAATATCATGAATTAATTCAGTTAAGATGCAGTTGTTATTATCAACTTATATTTCTACAGTGAAGCATATGAAGTTTTTTATAGGAACATTCCAAGACCTTTGAAAAAACAAAAAGTGCCTTGCAAACACACTAGCACCTTTCTTTAGTTCTAGGGGTCACTGTCTATCTAGCAAAGTACTTAAAAGAACATACTTCTTTGAAGGAGCTAATGTGATGTTTTTACTTTTAACAATTATTTACATGCATAATATAACAGTAACTTCCTGAATCAGGGTTGGTGCTCTGCATGTACTAGACTTGAGCCACAGTGGAGACGAGCAGAGTATCTGTGAAGAGCAATTTAGTCTTTCATTTCTTTCTACTTGCAAAAGATCTTCCATCATCTGCATGTATTTTGCGAATATCTTTAAAGTGTATTAATGCTACAGAGTAACGATGTATTCATGCAGGGCCTGGAATCTGCCTTTTAGCTGTCCCTGCACAGAAAGATCATACTGCTTTTACAGCTTGGCTTATGCAAGTGCAACTTTAAATCAGTCGGCACCACTAAGGTCACTGCTTTCTCAAAATCTGCACAAATAACTGGCTAAAAAAATCACTATAGTTCCTACACTGTGCTTCCTTGGTGCCATCAGAAGAGCTGTCAATCACGTATTACGTTAACAGGGACCTGGAATAATTTTTTTGAACTTGGATACAGGGAAATACAAGTTTATATTCTTTCCAGGAAAAGTTCCCTGAGAATTTCCTTATACATTTCACGTGTTACTCTCCTCTACGGAATTGCTTCTAGTGCAATATCCTGGCTTCCCTGATACTGGTGCACAAACTTCCATAAAGTTCAACAGATTTGGCCTCTTTTCCACCTTGTTCAGATACTGAGTGTGATAAAACTCCCATCTCCAACTACTCTTCCATACAGCCAGAGGGGTCATCTGAATTTCTGGCTAGGAGGGAGGAGCAGTAATTCAACCTGTTAACATGAACAACAGGTAAGGAGTAAAGCTGAGAGAAAAAAAAAAAAAAAGGTAGCTAATCCCTAGAGAGGAGAAAAAAATGACATATTTTGTGAGTGTTTAGTTTCCAAACTGTGGTTAATAAACAGTGATGGCAAACAAGAAGTTACCTGTGGTCTGTTTAACTGTTCTCTTTGTGACCATCCTAGCGCTGGTCAGGAGGTGAGTGAGAGGAGACGGCATTCAGTGTTTCTGGATGTTGTCATTTATTGGTAGACAAAACTTTGTGATTCATTTTCATTACACTAACATGACAAAACTGACCATAATGGGGACTGTTTGATAGTAAATACTTCAGATTGGCTTAAAAGATCTTTGCCTTTAAATCTTTTTAAGTGTTTTCTAATGGCTACTAGAGAGAGAGAGACTGCCTTAGAAATAAAACTGCAAATGTTCTTCTGTTAAGCCTGGAGGATTAAGGCACTTTTACCAAAATAGATCTCAAAAGGCAACAAGTCAGAAGGCAAATGTGTATCTATATATTACATTTTAAGATAACCTGGTTTATATTTATTTCACACAAATGACTTAATAAAATATAGCAGCATACCACCTATGAAAAGCTTAAGAAATTTATTAGATGCACAGATAAAGTGCTGTAACAGAGAAACTTGTGTAAATCTATTTTTAAATAAATAAGGTACAGTTAAACCACTTTTGACTCATTTTAGCTCTGAAAGAAAAATCAAACTAAATATAATTATTTGAATCTTAAGGTCAAGATGAAATATATCATAACTATAGCAGTGGTTGTGATGTACAGCAACTATTTGAGTCTCCTGTTCTTCTTGAAATCTCCCAGAAACAGGAAGGCTATTGCAAAATGTATACATTAGATATAGTTCCTTTTACAGAAACATTTTTGTAATAAAGTGTGTTTGCTCAAATACATGTTAAAATATTTAACAAGGAAACAATTTTCTCCTGATCCAGCCGATCTTTTAAACAAGACAATGTATTTTTCCTATGATGCAACCCACAGGAGGGAACAGAAGTAAACATCCTCCTTAACTCCAGATTGTTTTGCTTTAAAAACTAAACTATTGCATTATTATAGGAGAGCAGGAACTATCCATTTGCGTTATCCCTTTCTCCAAAAACAGAGCCTAACAATATACTGTTTTTGCCTTAATCTGAGGTCCGTTGGTCTTCAAATAAGACACACACTAAAAAGAGATTCCCTTTAAGTGTCTTATTACAAGATCTTTTACTGTCTTTCCATCCAGGGAAGCTCCTGTTAAACTGCCACCGTCAGAGTTTTGGACACTACTAGGCTTTTGTGCTGTGTTACCCATAATTTCAGGCACTTTGGGGCTAGCATGGCTGTTTGCTTTAACTCAATGCAATAATATTACCAATATAGTCAACACACAGAAGAGCCACCATGTTGCCTTCATACACTCAGGATCTCAAATTCTTCTTCTAATTCGAATAGCTTGTCAGTAGATTCAATGAGCTCTGCAAAAAGAACAAACAAAAAGAATTTTTTTTTCCTGAAAGAAAGAGAAGCATTGAAGTTTCCTTTAAATGAAACTTTTGGGCATGGTGTTTGGTGAGGAGTTTAAAAAAAAAATCTGTGCTACCAATCACATATGGCTGCTTGCAGAACCAATACTCTGTAAAAATAAATCTCATCTCATGCTGACTGCTTGACACTGAGCAAATCATAGTTATTCCACCCAGAATTATTCTTCTATTTCACTAGTGAGGGACACGCTGCTGCACAATTGTATTTTCAAATCAGTACTGTACCTGCTCCTGTTGTTGTCACTTCTGGTTTTGTTGGAGGTATGAAAGGAGGCCAGTGTGGTGGGTGCTTCTGGACTAGCTCAAACATCCGTAGACTCTGTTGTTTCAGAATCTCCTGAGGATGGGATACTCTCATTTTAAAAGATGCCTCAAAAAACCTTCAAATCCTAAAAGTGTCTGCTTAATTAAAAACATTTTTTTAATTAAAACTCTTTTAAATTATGTATGTTTATCAGAGAACTGAGGCTTTATGCAGAAATACAGTGAAATCCTGTTACACTTTAACTACCTGCCATTATGAATCAGCACTTCATAGATTCTGTAATATAAATTTTTCCATCTCAAGGAAACCTGAAAGACAGATCTTTTCACATTTGCTAGAAGTTATCAGTGTGTTGTAAAACACCACTTTTTTGTTTGCAAACAGGCACCAAAAATATACAACATTTTTAGCCTTTTAAAATCACATGCCTGTGACTCTCTGCTTGTTTGCCACTGGTCAGTGGGAACACAAGAATGATCCATCACCTCCACAAAATGACAGGTTTTGAAGGACAGGTTTTGATCAAGAGAAGCCACATTTCACTCCAATCATATGACTTCAGGTTCTATATCTCAGGGATTTTGAAACCGCTTTACTCAAGATACTGTTACCTATTCAGTGTTCAGTTGGGGTTTTTTGTCAAGGTTTTTTGTCCAATAAATGCATTACAGGTTGAGGCTGACTTTCAAACTTCTCTTGCTTAGTATGCCAACTGCACATGGCAATGACTAATAAACTGCCTGTCTCAAGTGCTTAATCTGTGGCAGAAAGTAGTTCCCCGGATCAGCAGAAGCTGTGGGGATTCTGCATGTAACAGAATCAGATGTTTATAGGACCAAGAACTTATGTTCATAATTAGAACAATAATATATATAACAATTAAAAAGTATCATGAAGCAAAACAATCACTACAAGATAGCAGTTAAAATGTTAAGTAATTTAGTGAGTAGTAAATTTTTTAAGCAAGTTTTACCATTAAAGAAATAGTGTTTAAAAAGCCTTTTTAAGGGTGTATATTTATACCCATTTTCCAGCTGGCAGGGTATGTGGTGTCAAAGTGCCAAAT